GGGCGGCGCGCACAGTGCGAGGCTGGCGGCCCGGGCCCTGGAGTACCGCGGTGAGCGCAGCGGCCAGATGTTCAGAGGCGGCCCTGGGCCAAGCCTCTCTTTCTCACGGCCAAGCCCAGCCCAGCCTTCCGGGTGCTTTGGCGGGGCCCTTGCCCGCGGTCGGTCACGTGCGTTCGCTCCGAGAGGAAATCAGAGGCTAAGCGGTCGGCCGGGGTGGGAATGCAGGGTGCCTGCAGGGCCCCAGAAACCTGGGCGCGGGGCTTTCCCTCTCTGCCTCCCCACAGAGCCTGGAGAGCCCCCAGGTGAGCAGTGAACTTCTGACCCCAGCCGAGCTGGCAGAGTTCTTGCTGCATTATAGTGCCCTCCGATGGCCAATTCCGGGACAGCCTCGATGTCGAAGTCAGCTTATGGCAAGCGGGGGACCTCATTTATTCTAACAGTTTAATCGTGTTTTAAAAAGAGTAAGAAAAAAATTAATGTAACAGTGTTAAAATGTAGTCTCGTCTCTCACTTCTTATCCACGTGAACAAAAAACCTTTGTCACAAAATTTCCCCTAATGCAGACTTTCTCAAAACCTGTCTGATCACAAGGTGTGCTCGCTTGTTAAAAATACACATTTCCCTTCTCACTGATGTGGGAGCTGAGCTATGAGGATGCGAAGGCATAAGAATGGTACAATGGACTTTAAGGACTTGGGGGAAAAAGTTGGGGGGAGTGAGGGATAAAAGACTACAAATATGGTACAGTGTACACTGCTCCCGTGATGGGGGCACCAGGATCTCACGAATCACCATAGAGAACTTACTCATGTAACCAAATACTACCTGTATGTACCCCAGTAACTTATAGAAAAGTAAAATTAAATAATTTTTAAAAAGAAGAAACAAAAATACACATTTCTGGGTTCTACTCCAGAAGTACTAAACCAAAATCTTCAGAAACTGAGCCTGATATTCTGCATTTTAACAGGACCCCCAGGCAATTAACAGAATCGAGCTAATTGAGGAAACTCAGCTGTGGGCCCTTGCAGTGCTTTGCAAGTGCAAACCACCCTTGCCATGCTGACTTCGCTGAGGAAGCCCTTGTCCCCCCACAACAACTCAGAGACCTGCCGATGCCTTGAGAGGGAGGAGGGCACTCATGAGAAACACACCTCAGAGGTGGGAGACCTGGCTCTGCCAGAATTTGCTGCAGAACCTTGGGTTCATAATTAACATCCTTGAGTCTCTGCTTCCTTCTTTATGGGATAGAGCCAGCGTTTCCTACACTTGCTGACTCACTTCATTAATGGAGCCTCCAAGGAGTTGCTGAACATTATAGCATATTTTAAAAGTATACAACTCATAGTGGTCTGCTGAAGCCAGCTTATCATGGCCAGTAAGAGCTAATTGACAAATGTTAGAAACTTTTTGAGTCGGTTATTAAAGCTTTGGTGGTATCTTAAAATGGGCCATGGCGGGAGCATTTACACCACAGAAATTGGCAAATATTACAAATTCGGGCTTTTTTAAAGCTACAGAGCCTATTGTTAGCCATTTACCAGCACCCCACTAAACACACAGGAGGGTCAGGCTCTTTTACGTCACAGGACATTCTGCAAGTGGCAGGCCTGGAGAAAGTGAGTTACCGCATTCCTTCCCCTCGCTGTTCTGTCATGGCAACAGCAGGACTCAAGGCTCAACCCCTCCTCCAAGGTGCCCATAGCTACCACTGACAGCTAGCCCTTGTAGACATACTGGACTGGAAGCCCAGCAGAGTCTAAAGCCCTGAGGAGAGTCAGAGGCCTGGAGAAACACCAGCTGCTACTTGACCTGCTCTTGTATCAACCAAGGAGGGGATTCAAGAGAGGACTTGCACCAGATGAAGGGAATTAGGTTGTTGTAGCCTCCCGAGGAGTGGGTGGCAGGATCTTAATTTGACCTTATTCAATTTTTCCCTTTTGAGAAAGAAGCCAACTTTGTCGTACATCATGGTGTCAAGGCCAAGTCCTGCAGAGTTTACCTTCATCTCAGAACTCACAGCTGACTGTAATCTGCTCTTTGGGGAATACAGATGTTACCACTCTACAAGATGCACACGAGGCAGATTCGGGGAGTGCTGGCCCGAAGGAGCAGGGCACACACAGGAGGGGCATCAGGAAGCCTTGCCCAATCCCCTCTACCCCAGCATCTGTCCTTCCTTTCCTTAATCCCAGGCCTTGAGGTACACAAGTGTTAAGGAGGCTCCAGGTTCCCTGGAAACTGATAAGACAAAAAATGTTGAGCCATAGGTAGATCCACCTATATACCTCAGATCACTAAGCCTGGCCAGGATTAGAAGGGAAGGAGGCCTTCCCCTCTTATGGGAAAGGCCTTCATGACCGATGAGGCAGTCAGTTAACAGTTCCTTATTACTTTCTTTGTACAGAGATCTATTAAGAGCAACAAGGTTATAAGATGATTTGATCCTCAAGTAACTTAAATCATATGGGGCTCTCACCAGCCATGAAGCAAATTCAATCATGGAGCAAGACAGCTGTGTGCAGGAAGGCACACTGTAACTGATTTGCATGCAAGTGCTAAGAGTTCATAGTTAGAGTACTCTGTACAATGGAAAGGACTGGGAAGGTGGCTAGAGAGATCACCTGAGATTAAGGGAGGGCAAGACTGAGTTGCCCAGGGAGGGAGAAGAAATGATTAATTGAACAAAGATGCCAGTCTCTGACTATTGAAGAGTGCTCATCACCAGGCCTGTTTGGCTGGAGCTATGAGTGAGTGTCAGGGACCAGTGGGAGGTCAGATTGGCAACGTAAGTTGAGGTCATGTTGGAGAAGGCTGAGCTTGGTTTATGGGTGAAAGAGGAGCCATGAAAAGTGTATTCATTTTCTATTGCTGTGAAACACATTATCACATATTTAGAAGCTTGAACTGTACCCATTTTTATCCTGCAGGGTCTGTAGGTCAGAACCCTGTGCACAGTGTAGGTAGGTTCTCTTCTCAGGATCTCACAGGGCTGAAATCAAGGTGTAGACTGGGCTGTGTTCTCATCTAGAGCTTGGGATCCTTTTTCACACTCATTCAGGTTGTTAGGGGTATTCAGTTCCTTGCAGTTGCAGGACTGAGGCCCCTACTTTCTAGCTGGCTGTCAACCAATGCAATTCTCAGCTCCCGTAAGCCTTTTGTCATCTCCTAAAAAATGACCCTCTCCAAAACACGGCAGTTTGCTCCTTCAAGGCCAAGAGAATAATTTCTCAGTCCCCTTTAAGGGCTCACCTAATTAGGTCAGGCCCAGTCAAGATAATCTCCCGTTTGATTAGCTCAGCCACAACTGATCGGTAATCAAGTCACAGAAGTGATATTACATTATAGTCAGAGATTCAGCCTACACTCAACGGAGGGGATTACACAACGCAGAAATCTTGGGGCTATTCTAGAGTCCTGCCTATCTCAGATCATTTTCAGCTGGGGAGATGAGGCGACATGATGAAATTTATTTTTGAAACCTCGCAGCAGGAGCTCAACGAGGAGACTGTAGCCATGACAGAAATCAGGTAGCAGGAAAGGAATAGGTGGATAAATAAATAGGGAAGATATACAATGGACAAATTTACAGGACCTGGAATGTTCCTTCCGCATCTGACCTCATGGCTGGCCCTCTCTCATACCACTCACTTCCCTGCCCACTCTGTGTTAGTTTTACCTCCTCCCTGGTTCTCTAACACATCACCCAGCTTATTTCTTTCATGATACTCTTCATTTTATATTACTATATTTGTTTCCTTTTTATTGTCCATTCACTCCACTAGACTCTAAGCTCGAACAGAACAGGGACAATGTGTCTTTTGCACACCTCTGAATGTCTGGAATTGGGCCTGGCATATAGTTGAGGCTCAATAAATATTGAATAAAGGTTAAATAAATAAGTGAGCAAATTATATGAAAGGATCCAGGGAGATTCAAAAGGTCTGAGTATCGGGTCTGGATGTCTTGAAGAAAGGCATAACATGGAATCAGATTAAGAGGTTTGGGGAGTTGGGGAGATCTGTTTTAGACATCTTGAGTTTGAGGTGACTATTGTGCAGCTAAGTCCTACGGGCAGCTGGAAATGCATGTGAGGAATGGACACAAAAAAAGCCACAACCATAGTGGTTGTTCCAATCCTAGTAAGGAACTGGGCTTTGACCACGAAAAAGAATGAAAACTGGATTTTAAAATAAGCCTCCATTGGACATTTCTCATTTATATTTTTAAAACATCTACTGCTTAGAGGAGCTGTCGCCATGAAGGTTATAATTTGTATTAGGACACAGCAGAGGGTAAACAACCTCTTTGGGTACTGTTCTATCATTGCCTGAAAACCTGCGGGAGGCGGTGAAGGCACGCAGCCCAGCACCCAGAGTGTTGGGAGTGAAGGTAGGGCCGGTTATGCTGGGCGATCAGGCAGAACCGGGAAAGCAGATCTCCAGCAACGCAGTGGCGCTGTGTTAATCTTTTTATTTTTCTCTTTCTCTGTTCATCTCCCTCAATAAGTTCTTCATTTATCTTATCTCAACCTTTCTGCTTTTCTCTCTTCCTCTAGCTAAATCATATTTCTCATGCCTTATGTATCAACCTGATTATTTCTCTACTAACTTCTTTCATCTGGTCTTTTGAAAAGTTCCCCTCACTAGACTTCGTGGCTCATGCCTGTAATCCCAACACTTTGGGAGGCGGAGGCCGGAGAGTCGCTTGAGCCCAAGGGTTTGAGACCAGCCTGGGCAACAAAGTAAGACCCTATCTCTACAAATAAAATAAAATAAAATAAAATAATTAGCCAGGCATGGCGGCACAGGCATATAATCCCAGATACTCGGGAAGCTGAGGTAGGAGGCTCTGATCCCAGGAGTTGAGTTGCAGTGAACGGTGATCACACCACTGCACTTCGGCCTGGGTAACAGAGTGAGACCCTGTCTCCAAAAAAAATAAGAGAAGTACCCCATTCCATCTCACCATACCTATCCCCTCTCCCTTTGCTTTTTCAGGTACACTGCAGTGGTCATGCCTGTTCACTACCAGCATGGCACGGGACAGAACTCCTGTCGGCGCGTGGCCCTCATGATCACGGCCGTCTGGGTACTGGCCTTTGCTGTGTCCTGCCCTCTCCTGTTTGGCTTCAATACCACAGGTAATGATGATGGCTTCACTTCTAGCATCAGTACGATTCACAGCACACCTGAATGTCTGGCTGTGAGTTGTGCTCAGCCTTGAAATTTCTGACCCCGGGTCAGCATACTTTGCAATTAAAGGAGAATGCCAGAGAATGCAAAGCTTTGGCCTTTGTTTGTTATAAATAAAATATAAATAAAACCTCATCAATTATTGGCACAGGGGGTAAAGTTCTGCCCCAATTAATGAAAAGTCTGGCTCATCTTTATTTCAAAAAAATGTCATTGTATTCATTTGCAGAAACGTACCAGTTGAAAAAACCAAGATACATATTAATAATTCAGGCAAGTTCTGCTAATGAAAAGACAACAATTCATAACAGACCTACTATAAGAATTTTATAATGCAAAATAACACATTATAAAAGTCTTATAGTAGGATATATATTTCCAACTTTTTACTCAATAAGAATAATTTCTGATACTTTAGAACTAACCAGTATACTTTTGCAAATTGCTGGAGTGTGTATTTTCTATTTTTAATATAAAAATTCTGGATATGATGGTTGGCACATGGTACATCGATAGGATGGACAGATGGATGGATGGATGGATAGACGGATGAATAGATGGATAATGTATATACCTGAAATGCTCAGAATTTTAAGTGTAGGACACCAATACCTCAGATGAATCAGTGCCTTCCATGTTGGTACCATGTCCATCTTTTAGCCTCAGTAATTTTTTCTCTTTTTTTCTTTTTTTTGAGACCAAGTCTCATTCTGTTGCCCAGACTGAAGTGCAATGGCATGATCTCAGCTCACTGCAACCTCCACCTCCCGGGTTCAAGCACTTCTCCTGCCTCAGCCTCCCTGGTAGCTGGGATTATAGGGATCTGCCACCACCTCCAACTAATTTTTGTATTTTTGATAGAGACAGGGTTTCATCACGTTGGCCAGGCTGGTCTCAAACTCCTATCTCAAGTGATCGGCCCGCCTCAGCCTCCCAAAGTGCCGGATTACAAGTGTGAACCACTGCACTCAGTAATTTCATGTGTGAAATGAAAGATATTAACACACATAGTAACGTGATGGGTATTGACAATATACACTGAGTGCTAAGAGAAACCTGCTTGATTAGTGTTCCAGTGGTCATCTGGATTTCTTATTTTGTCCATTTGAATTGATTTCATTCAACGCCTATATGCCAGGTTTGTAAATTTCTATATGTATGTACTAGTCACATGGCCACATGCTTGTGTGTATGCAGATATTATGTCTAACATATTATGTATAAATACAGGCAAATCCTAACTTTAAGTAATCTTCCAAGTGTCATTTGCTGGACAATGACTTAGAAGTCAAAATACATTTAGGAAGATAGGCATAGGCTTTGGAGTCAGTAAAATCTAAGTCCAAACTCTAAACCAAAGTCCAGTTTTACTAGCTGTCTCTCCTAAACAAGTTACTTAACTTCTCTGAGTTCAGTTTCCTCACTGGTAAATGTGGGATAAAATTACAGTGGAGCATATACTTGAGCAAATTAAAATATGTGGACTCGATCTACATATTTAGTTAAGACATTTTTAATATTTATTTTTATATTTGACCTGCTACAAATAAGCCCAGCAACTTTATCTCTAAAATGATATTCCATAGGAACCCTGTACTATATGACACATTACTATATGTATCATACAACCTATTACTCTTCAGGGTTGTAATAAAACACGTATATCTTTATATGTGATTCAGATTTTCAAAGCAAATTTGGAGTCTATAATTTTCACTTTATTTACTGACTTTAGAATCTAAGCCTACATATAACTCCACTCTACCTTCTTCATAGAGATTTTTGCAATTAAATGAGGATTAAATGGGGATAACATATGTAAATATGCCAAGCACTTACTGCCTCCTCAAGGCCAGCTTGTCTCTCTGCCACAGTGAAGGGTAACTATTCAACTTATCAACAAATATTTGCCTGGTTAACCCAGGCTATTCCCAAAATATGGTGTTGTTATCTTTGCATTACTGTTTACCATTCATTACTTTGTTATTTTAGCTGAACAACACTTTATACATGCAAACACGTGTGCACATGGGCACACTGCGCAGCACAAAGCAATATCCCTTAATGTGGCTACGGAGGCTGACTCTGTGGCACTAAAATACCATATCTGGTGAATGCTAAATGTGCTTTATAGGTTAGTCTGATAGCTAAGTCACCTTCTGTAAGTTTGTTTCTATATGAAAATGTATTCTGCCAGGCGCGGTGGCTCAAGCCTGTAATCCCAGCACTTTGGGAGGCTGAGGTGGGTAGATCACGAGGTCAAGAGATCGAGACCATCCTGGTCAACGTGGTGAAACCCCGTCTCTACTAAAAATACAAAACATTAGCTGGGCATGGTGGCACGTGCCTGTAATCCCAGCTACTCAGGAGGCTGAGGCAGGAGAATTGCCTGAACCCAGGAGACAGAGGTTGCGGTGAGCCGAGATCGCACCATTGCACTCCAGCCTGGGTAACAAGAGTGAAACTCCATCTCAAAAAAAGAAAGAAAGAAAAAGAAAATGTATTCTTAGAATTTCTAGTGTGGGGAACTCACCACTGCTAGACTAGGCACTGTTTACCCCCTAGCCAACAGCAAATCCCCACCAGCATCTGCTGGGCTGGCTGTGGTTCCCCTGACTCACTCTTGGTGGAGGCGGTCTTCTTCACTCTCACAGACACACCACACTGGAAACAGTTGAAACAGTCTCAAAATCTGACATTAGACCATGTTCTCGGTGAATGTCGACATCCAGAGTGAGGAAGAAGGATGAACAACTCATTCCAGTGTTGTTGCCACCAGTGAGATCATTATTGTTCCAGAAACAAAATTCAGGAAAATTTTTTTCAAAAGGATTTTCAAATATAGGATTGAGAAGGCAGAAAAGGCCTGTGACTTAGCATGTGCGCTTTCACTTCTCTCTCGTCTCTCACAGCCTGTCTCCCTCTTTTACTTTTAAGTTTATTGCACTCTAGCAAGCCCTCCAATTATTCATATATAGTGTCAAAGTGTCAGGTTCCAATGTGAGGGCTCAGTAGATATTAGCTGGTGCTATAGTTGTTATTAGTTGTTGGAAAAGTTTAACTATACATCAAAATTTAACTATACATCTGCAGCTGTAAGAGTTTTGCTGATAGTTTTAGAGATCAGTCACCTCTTCCTTGAACAGTTAGGGGACTTAGTAAGCGAAACTCAGGCCCAGCCGTCCTCCTCTGCCTCAAGCCGACCTTCACTGTACAGCTTCATTATCTTGATAGATGTGGGTTCCTGCAGCAACTCTCTCATCTATAAGGAAGTTCCCAAGTTCATTTGAAAGCCCAATATAAAGGACTCCTCTCAGTCATTTTTTCTGCTCCTTCTGTGGAAAATCAAGGGGGAGACAGCAGGATCCTGCCAATAACACCTGATATTGGAAGCAGCTGGACTTTCACTAATAAGTGCAACACAAAAAAAGAACTTTCTGGCAGAGCTCTCCTTTTAATATCATGGGCTGCCACATGCAATTGTGAATTAAGAGAACATAAGACACAGAAAAGTTGAACTTCAGTCTCTTCCAACTTGGAGTTGCTCCTGATCTCAGATGAAAGGTCAATATGAGGCAGGGTCTTGGGTCAGAGAGTTCCTGGCCAGGATTGCCTTAACTTCCAGCAGAGGCCCAACAGTCTAGGCAAATACCACATCATCAACAGACCCTGATACAGCAGAGCACGGTGTGCTGGTGCTAAAGGAAACTCTGAAGATCCCTGAATGAGCAGCCCAATCTTTTCATTGCATAGATAAAACTAGTATTTAAATTCCTGCTAAATCAGAAAGCTATTGTGTTATTTTTAAAAATCTAGATTGAATAAGCAAAGAATGAATAAGCTGGTGATAAGGGTTCAAGAAACCTTTAAGGGAGGAGAAACTTAAAGTTAAGAAAACTCTATCAGCTGGCTTGATTTTCCTTTGAAAGAAGGAAATGGAGGAGGGCTATTTATTTGATTTCATCAATAGAACAACTCACCTAGTTTTCAGAGCACTGGAGCTAGGTTGGGGGAGGGGGAGCTTGGTTGCACAAAAAGTTGAAAGAATAATAGAAGCACAAAGTTAAAAGGATAATAGGCTCATCCTAAAATCAAATTCATTGGCACCGCATGTCTTTGGAATCAAGTTGGGGTCAAATCTGTCAGTGAGTTTGAAGTTCATGAATCTTTCAAGTAAACCTGCTCTGAGCCAAGCTGTTCACATCATTGTGGGGCTCAGTTTCCCAAGACAGCCTGCAAAAGCCTCTTAGATGCCTTCATATTTTTCACCCAGCACAGTGCTTTACACATAGTAGGTACTCCATAAAGGTTTGTTGAATGAGTAAATAGGTGACTCTTCATCATCATCCTTTCTTCCTGAAATGTTGACATTAATCGGGAGAAGCATCTCTAATCTCAGAGGAGCAGTGACCTCCCCTCCCCCCGGAAAGGCCTTCTCCATTATCCTCTGGTCAGTGAGTATGCATGTGTTTACATAAAATGCTCATTTGTACATTTTGCTCATTTTCATTTATTATTTTTGCATTTGCTTAATAACTATTGTGCTAACAAAACGACACTCCTGCAGTTAAATCATCAAAGCAAGGCACCTCATCTTCTGGGGAACTGTCAGCTTCTGAGGGGGGCCTTACTGTCTTCCTCACCTCTTTGGTATTCAGCAGAGAAGATTTCAGAACTGCTGCTGTGTGGTGCATCACTCTGCCCTGCCAACAGGACACACACACCCAGGGCCAGGCCTGCTGGGGGCTGGGGCAGGCCCCACTCATTGGCCACCCACCTCCAGTGTCACTCTGCCTGCAGTGGGGACATTCTGGAAGAGGCTGCAATGCTCGATCTAAGGAAGGGAAACAGTTTACTTAGGGGAGGAAGGAAGGGAATCTGCAGTGCAGATTCTGTGATTATATGTGAAAGCCTTCATTGACTAGGAACCCTGAAATAGCTATATGCCCTCTCAACTCTGTCTTTCAATATTTTTAATGGAGAAATAAATGCTTGCACATAAAACAGTCATAAGGTATCATGAGATACATACATATTTATATGTAAGTCTCCCTTCTACGCCAGATTACTAAATTCTCCCATCCCCTCAGAAACAAACATTAATATTGTTGCAAGATAATGTTTGCAACAAGTGTG